CATGCGAGAAATCAAAGTGAATGATTTGAGTAGGTGGTATCAAGATTGATAGATTAATTGATGTTCTTAATTTGACCTAACCATTATGCAAAAGAGGGAAAAGGAAGGAAGTCAATCCTAAGTTCTTTTATTTGATATTTTCTAAACACACTTTACTGTTCTTTGTCATTTATTTTCAACCCATATCTTTATGAAAAACACATTTTGTTTTACTCAACTTAGTAAGCATATGATTTGGAATTTCCATTGAAACCGTTCCTCGTGGGATCAACTTTTATTTAATCAAAATACTATACTACGATTGATAATTTTGGTACGCTTGCCAAATATTCAATATTTAATCCTCAAAACAGTGTTAGAAGATCTCAAAGGTAGCAAAAGAAGTTAGAGAGATATGGGTTTAATGGTACATTGTCATATGCCTTGATGGCAACGCTAGAGGTGAAGATGTTTGAGCCATCTACTATTCATAATGTTATTACTTGTGCAAAAATTAACAAGTGGATAATTACTGTGCATGAGAAGGAGGAGTCTATACATAAGAATAAGACAAGGGAACTAGGTAAACAATTTCAAGATAAGATGGTTATTGGTTGCAATTAGATAGTCAAGAAGAAGATTAATTTTGAATATGTTAGTGGTAGATCATCTACTGAAGCATATACATTTGGATTATATGATGGTTCTATCATTGTCAAGTATGGTTTGAGAGCCAAGGGATATAGTCAGAGGGAAATTAAGTTGAGATACAAAGTAAATCCAACTCTCAGAACAAATTCATGCTTTGTATGAATTTGTTGAATGTTGATTGGTAGGAGTAGTCCTGTTGTAAGGAGTTTTAGTGCAAGGTAGATATTTGTATGATATTCCTTGAACTCCTTGTATGATTAGGCTTTCCAAAACTACTACAGAGGCAACTCATTCGATGATGAGAGTAGCTACTTTGATGAGTGTAGCTCATCTGATGAGTGTAGCTAGTCTTACAAGTGCAATTCATTTAATGGGTAAAGATAGTCTACAGGGTTGAACTCATTAGTTGGTGTAGATCAATTAATGGATGCAACTTGGCTGGTGGATATAACTCATGTAATGGGTAATCTATGGTGGGTCATCTAATAGGTGCAATCAATATTATACTTTAATAAGTTAAGTTAGTTAGAGTTTTCTTAACTAACTTTTGATTTTTATTTTTTTCTAGTCACCTCTGGATATGGTGTTGTTCATGTTCTTATAATAAAGACTTAAGAACTTAAAAAATTGTACTTTAATAAGTTAAGTTAGTTAGTGTTGTCTAACTAACTTTTGATTTTTTTTTCTTGTCACCTTTGTATATGTTGACGTTCATGTTCTTAGAATAAGGACTCAATATAAGAACTTAAAAGATAGTTGAATGAGTTGTTCACAAATGGCGCAACAATTTTATACAATTGTGCTACAATAGTGTGACCTAATCATATTTTTGTGATTTTGTGATCATATCACCTATTTCTTCTATTATGTATTCATGTGCACCAATGTCTTTCATTCTTCCATTAAGGTGTATATGTTCTTGGTTATCAGAACACATCACTCTCTCACATCATGGATATGAGTGATATCTAATAAACCCCCTTAGATCAAGGATATGAGTAGTTAGTTAGCGGCCATAGAAATTCGTACAATAATCAAAACAAACATTGTTAGGATAGGTTTTGATAGCATATTAGAAAGTAAATATGAGTCTATTCAAGTCTACAAAATCAGTTTGTAGGTAAGATTTTCACCTCAGTTATTATATAGTACAATGTAGTCATGTCTTTAGTTGATGTAGGATTTTCAACACACACCTCATATTGAAGATGTGAGTGATTTTAAATAAAAAAAATCTACTGTATACTTTTTAGAACAACTATATTAAATTCTCAAATAAAGCATTTGAAAAGCTTACAAAATATATTGTTACATAATTTTGGAAAGAGTAATATGTATTTTTTTCTAAATTTTCCATTTCAATAAGTTTATTGAAATGCCTATTATGGAAATTCTAAAATATTCTTTTGGATCCATAATGTAATCCATTACATCTATGAAAAATCATTTTTCAGGTAAAAGAATGTACAATAAACAATTAGGGTCTAAACTTACCTTTGTACACATTTTTTTCCTAAAACGTTTGATTTCCTTAAAAAACATTTGATAGGGAAATAATTCTTCCTCCCATAAACAACATATTTAGAAAGTTTGTATTAAGGGAAATAGACACATGTCATCTTGAAATAGATAACAAATATTTTTTGAATATGAGTTTTCTATTATATTTTTTTATGATTTTATATGATTATGTGTATTAATTAGTATCTTTGTAATCAAATTTGATAGTTATATATATATATATATATATATATATAAGATTTTTATAATATTTATAAATAAAGAGAATTTTATACACATTAATCATCTGATTTTTTTTTTCTAATATGGCATAAAAGCTTTAAAATTTAAAGCTCTATCGCTTACATTCAATAATGAAAGTTGATCATTCCCAAAATCACAATGTAAGATAAGAGAATATCTTGAAGAAAAAATTGGACGACAACAATTTGATTCCATACACCAACTATATCATCAAATCCTAATAGCTCTTAAGAATAATTACAAAATGTTAGAAATAGTCATGTTTAAAACTAAGTCTCACTCAATCTTAGTCCTTCCACGCATAGTTTGGCAAATAAAAAGATTCTTTATTTAGGTCCTAGATTGTTGATATTTAAACCACTAATCATATTTGTTCTTGTTTGTTTCATTTGACTTCTTTTCATCAAAATAGACTATTCATGAGACATTACCAAATTGAAACAAAAATGTTAGTAACTAATCTAAGGAGTTTTTTACTCCAAATCATGTTTTTTATGATGTCTTATACATTCCTTGTTTCAATTTCAATTTATTATCTGTACAAATTAACTATTAATCTTTCATGTATTCTCACATTTGATTTCACTTATTGATGTTTGAATAAAATGTTTATGCATTTCATATCTTTGTTTAGGCCATTTTCATATACTATTGCATTATTTGAATGATTCATGTGTTATCTGTGTTTTGGATCATACATTTCATCATGAACTATGATTATCAAATAGGTGTAACTAAAGAAATGGGGGGAGGGGGGGGGGTTGGAGACACATGGATAAATTTCTTCTTGAAGTTTTTCACATTATGTAGAACTAATTTTTTCTTTTTGTTGGAGGATTGATGTAATACTTTATATTATAGTTTATGAACTTCAACAATTGATGTTTAGTTAATTTTAATTATCCCAGTTTTCTATTTATGGTTTGAATGTTCATTCTATGAGCAATTTGACAATTGGAAGATTGAACATTGCTTGCGATTATAAATATAAAAGATTAAGTTTTCTCACATTTGGGAAATTGGACATATCTACTTTGTTTGCAATTAAGACAATAATTGCTCTTTGTCACAACCTGGTTCATGATGAGACGATAAAAAAAAATATAATATATTTAAAAAAAATGGAAGTGGAGTCATTGCAATAGTTTATTAAGGAAAACTACGAAAAAATTTAAAATATAGCTATGAAACTAGATTTGGGTTTGGGAGTCTATTACGTGTATGGAAAGTATCAACACCCTACAATGTTCTCCTAAGATGATTACCCTTAATTGCATGTGCAAAAATAAATGTCATTTAAAAAAATATATTTCCCCCAAAATTAGACAAAAAAGAAAGAAAACAAGAAAAGCATAGAAAAACATTTTTGAAAATATTTGTTATTTAGGCTTGACATGGATTGACCTTACTCCTACTTATTTCTATTGAGAATGAAAAATCAAGGTTATGTAATTCTTTTTAGAATAAGTTGTATGTGTTGTATTAATATTTTGAAAAAAATTTGGTATTTTTGAAAGACATTTGTATTTTTTTTTTTAATGTTTTTGAGAAAGGGTTGCAAGGTGTAAAACAATGCCGAGACTGAATACATTTGTGGAAGGAATTATCGAACATGTATAAGCTGATGCAGATGGCTATACATATATCTCAAATAATTTATTTTGATAAGACACATGATGGGGCATGCAACCATACCGTGTCTAAAAAATATTTTGAAAAGTAAAGCATTTGATGACACATGTGACCATACCTATACTTCAAAAGCATTAGACATAAGACAATGGAGACAGTCGTGTGTACATCTAAGCAACTCTTTAATCCACAAAGGCAATGTAAACTATGCAATTGCCTTAAAGAACCAACGCAAAAAGTTAAAAATGAGCACTAATACTTAATGATGTAGGCAACCACAACCTCAAGTGCTCTTGTAAAGGATCAGTTGTCCAAATAACCTAGATCGAATAAGGAGCCCGAAAGCCACTAAATTGAATATCGTGGGGCAGATAACCACTAACTCGAAGTGAAGGACCGACAACAACTAAATTGAAGTGAAAAGGGTCTATAGCCACAAAATTGCGCAAAAACAAAAGCCGACAGTCGTGATTCTCACACTCAATCCAAAGGCGTCCTAATGTAGACCCAAACCATCAAACATAAAAATAAAATTTCAAATATTTACAATCAGAGACATAAAAAAAGGATTGAAATAATTGAATCCAAACAAAACAAGTACAACCCACAACGTACTAAAACCAAAAATACATCGAAACCAAATTTAAATGAAAATTCAATAGCATAATAACAAAAATATGACAAACTACCACAGGACCAGAGTACCTAACCGTCTAGACAAAAGGAAACAAAACAAAAAAAAGTTCAGATATAGTTTAAAAATTACATGAAAACTCAATTTAGTGCCAAAAACTATAGCAAAATCGAACACAGATATATTAGTCTAGTTCTAGTGATCAAAATAATAAAAAAAATCACAAGAAAAAATAAAGAGAAAACTCGGCCCGATTTCGGTTCTAGAAATCGAAATAACAAACAGAGATTACAAGAGAAACAAAAAGAAGACCCGATCTAGGATGTATCATCCCCTCAGCCTATAGTGCGACCCTCAGACCCATCTCGAACCAGGGATCGTGGAGATAGGAGAGAGATGGGGAGGTGTGGCAAAGGGGAGACTGAGGTTGAGGGAGGATGAAAAGAGGGAAATAGCCACAATGACTTTGGTGAGTTGTTTCGGTGAGGCTAGAAGAGTGGTAGGGAGGGTGAGTGGGATGCAGATCGAGTTGGAACTGGGGGTTTGCGGTGGTGGCGTTGAGGGTTTGGGGTTGGCACGAGCTGCGATGACTTGTAGTGAAGGTGATGTGACTCGGTGATTTAGGTGGCACAATGCTGCTAGGGATCGTGACTAAGCTTGTGGCGTAGTTAAGGTGCAAGATGCGATGGCTCATGGTTGAGGTGCGATGATCGCGCGACTTGGTGCTGAGGGATTGATTGGGAGGCTCCTAGGCTGGGGTGGTTGGACTCGCAAGTGAGGTGGTAGAGACACGGTCGCACAATGGTTTGCTGTGCAGTTGTGGTGGTGGCTGAAGGTAGCCGCATGTCGAGCTGGAAGGTGGTGCGAGGAGTGGCTTACAGTTAGGATGAGGGTGGAGGAGGGTGAAGGTAATGTAGAGTGCTGGTGAATGGAAATGATGGTGAGGTGAGTTAGGATTAAGGGTGAGGGAGATGACTAGATATCGGAGGCTAAGGGATTGCTCTTCATGATTTTTTTATTGAATTTTGTACCGGCCTAAGAGATTGAGATTAGAATTCAATGAATAGGTTTGTATTGAGATTAGAATTCAATGAAAAGGTTTGTATATCTAACGAATGAAAAGTAAATAACCTCTTAATAAAATAAAGTAGATAATTATAATTCTTATTTCAATTGAAAAGTGTAAGAATTTATTGGAAAAGGTATAAAATTAATTTTTTAACATTTCTTATATTGATTGAATTTTTATTATCATTCTATATTCATCATTTTATTCATTATTCCATTGCTCAAATTATGTAAATTAATAATCTAATACTCAACAAATTCAATCCTAAAAGATAATATTTTATTACTACATTAACTATTGGTGTACTTACAAAACATGTAACAAGTTTTTAACGTCGTTGTCGATGATTGTTTTGTTAATATTAGTGATTTAGTTAGCTTAAGATTTGAGTTGTAGATTTTATTGAGTCAAAAATTTTATGTTTATAATATTTTTCTTTATATTTTAATTTTTCTTATTTGATTTTGTTTTTGTAATCATGGAATTTCTGTTGTTAGTGTTTTGTATCTCTAAGTTGTTCATTCGAGGTACTGTTGTCCCGGAAGACTTTTTTTATTTATTCAGAAATTGAACACACTACTAGTAGAATCAGGAGTAGGACAAGAACAAGTATGAGAGAAAGAAGACAAGCACAAACACCAATTGATAAAAAAGAGCATACATCAATGATGGCAAAACAAAATATGATGAAGACTCTTTGTGAGCATTTTATGCCCGATCCTAATAATTATGAAGGAAGCATTGTGAGACCTTCTATTCAAGCCAACAATTTTGAAATCAAGTCTGCGTTGTTTCAAGTCATCTAATAGAATTATTTCGGAGGTGTAGTTTTAGAGGATCTCAATTCTCACCTAGCCGGTGTTTTTTAGTGATTTATTGTTCAAAAGGATAAAAAAGCAAGTATGATATTCGTTTGTTTCAACTAATATGAGAGGATATGTGAGCGATGATTTGAGGGAGAGTGGGAGGAAAGCTCACTCGCTTAAACAAAGAGATATGTAGAGAAACACACATCATCAAATGATAATTTACATATTTATCCTTCTCCATCTCCTCCATGTGAAGACATAGTGCATGGAATCCACACATAGTGCCTCCTCTAAAACGCTAAGCATGCATGCAGATGGACCTGAAAAAGCTTGGCATGCATGCAGAGTAGAGATTCGCCCCTACCCGGTAAGGAATTCATGCAGACGAGCACATGCATGAGGTAGGCCGTGTTAGAGCAATAACCATAGTAGGTGGAGGTTGGTTGTCATTAAATACGTATGAGAGGAGGCCATTTATACATTGTTGGTGAGCTTGCACTGTGATGGTTCTTGTTCGCATAAGGATTCTTGTTCTCATTGTAGGTTATGGTTTGGTTTTGGTTTATGTAGTGGGTGAGAGGGGCTGAGTGCATGGTTTTGGTTGTTTTAGAGAATCGATTCTCTGGCTGTGAAGAATGAATCCCGTTCATAATAACCGATTCTCAACGAAGGAGAATCATATCTGGTCGCCCGCTGTCCGTGGCTAGAATCGATTCTCAATGAAGGAGAATCAATTCTCGGCCAATCAGAATTGATTCTCGAGGGTAGAATTGATTGTCCAACTTACTAGAATTGATTCTCGATCAAGTGTTCTTTCAACGAGAGTCGATTCTCGTGTGTGAGTTGTGTTGTGTTGTGTTCATCCTTGACGTGTGTTGTCTTCTTGCAGGTGTTCAGTGGTGCTACTGGTGATTCGCCGTCATGTTCATGGTGGTCGTGGTGCAGCTATTGCTTGTGGGTTGTTCTCGTGGTGTTGTTATTTTCTAGTGGTCTCGTTGAGCCTATGTTTGTAACGAGAATCAGTTCTAGTGTGTGTGAGTGGTTGTGTTCAACCAATGATGCATATGATGTGTTGTTGCAGGTTTCTATTGGTGGTGTTCTGGGCGTGGTGATCTCGTGGTGCTACTGTTTACAAGTCATCTCGTCAAGCCTGTGTTTGTAACAAGAATCGATTCTCGTGTGTGTGAGTGATGTTATGTTCAATCATTAATGCATGTGTTGTGTTTTGTTGTTGCAGGTTTCCAGTGGTGCTGCTATTGGTGTTCTCAGCGTGGTGTTGTTGTTGGGGGTGTTGTGGTGGTTCAATTGTTGGTCGTGTGGTGGTGCCATCATGTTGTTGTTGGTGGTGTTGTCATGCTGTTGTTTGTGGTCTCGTGTGCTGGTGGTGGTGATCATCATCGTTTGGGGGTTTGCTGTTGGTGGCTCGTCATCGTGTGGAGGTCACGTGGTGGCACTACAACAGAAAGTGGCTTTCGCGATGACACTTTAGGTAGCGGTTAACAAAAATCGCTTTTAAAATACATATTAGATAGCAGTTAGGAATAAAACGTTCTCTAAAGTATGTTTTAATAGCGGTTCAGAAAGAACCGTTTTCTAAAATAATTTATAATAACGGTTGTATGATAACCGTTATCTAATGTCATACCTTTGAAGAGCGGTTGACACGTGGAACCGCTATCATAACTTTAGATAGTGGTTACTTTGTGGAACCGCTATAATAAGTGTAGTTTAGATAGCGATTATTTGGCGAACCGCTATCTAAAGTCAAATTTTTAAAAACCCTAATCCCCTTTTTTTCAATCTCGCACTTTCTATTTCTGCGTTTTTTGCCGCTCTCTGCACTCTCCTTCTCGCTCTCTGCGTCTTCCATTAAACTACAGGTATGTTCTCTCCTTTTCGCTCAATTTGTGTTCTCCCACTTGCTCTGGGTTCTTTCCATTTCCCTCTGTGTCTTCAATCTCTTGCTCTCACTACTCAGTTGGGTATTACAATTCCATTTAAGCATATTTGTGTCGCGTTCCATTCTCCATTCATCATTGTTGTTGTAGGGCGCACTTATTGGGAGGTCTACAATATGTTAGTGCATTAAATATTTTTTAGGCTTTTATTTGATTTATTATAGTATAATTATTTGAATTAATATGATATTGGATACAATTTGCATCCCTATTTTGATTCTGATACAGTTAGTTAAATTTTAGGGTGAGTGTAAATTTGAAATTACAATTTAAAATTAGTATTTGGATTGATTAATATCTTAGTTTGGTCTCAATTGTTTATTTTTGCCTACATTGTGATCCTGAAATTGTGTTTTGAAATAGAATATAGGCTAGTTAGGATATATACATGGTTGTAGACCCAAATCTTGTCCGGCCTCATAATAAAGACCATAAGACCTTCTTTTCGAAGATGGATGAAGCCTAAGAAGCCATTAGGAGAGACTATTAGGCCCCATACTAGAATAGGAGAGATTTTTGGCATAAAAATAAGGATTTCGCCTTTTAGGGTCGAGACCGCCGTCTCGCCTTGCGAAGGTGGCGAGATCGCCGTCTCGTTTGGCGAGACAGCCGTCTCGCCATTCCTGCAAGGCCAGACGGCCGTCTCGACCTGACAGGCGCGAATCCCTATAAATAGGAGCCACATTCTCCTCATTTCACACAGTTCTTCCTCCTTCTCTCTAGAAATCTCTTCAAATTCTCTCTCTAGAATCCCTCCGAAGCATTTCCAGAGTTTCTAAGCGTTTCTAAGAGTTTTTTTTAGCGTTTTGAGAGGTTTTCGACGCTGTGTAGAGTGAAGGGCTGCCGCATAGCACCCTAATTTTTAAAAGAATTAATAGAAAGCTCGCTCCGAAGGTTTCTACTTTCTTCCTTTACCTTTTATCGCTTTATTTAAATTATGCGATAGATACTAGGGTCATGTAGTCGTAATTTTAAATTCCACAATAAAAGGGTAAAAACGTATTTTTTCGGTTTAATCATTCAAATAAGCTGGTCTATCATAGGGAACCTAAAAGGGCGTCGTATAGGAACTAACCCTTCCTTTACACGTAACTAACTCCCTTACCCAACTCTGGTTCTAACGATCAAAGTTGGTTTTTCGAAAACCAACGCCTTTTAACCCCTTTTCCTATGTTTCTGGTAAAAACATCGGCGGCGACTCCAGAGAACCCTTCAAAACTAGCTCTCGGATTAGCCCGGTTATTGGACAATCCAAGAGTGGCCTTTCGAAAACCTCGCCCCTAGGTTCAGCCCGGTTATTGGACAACTTAAAGGCGTTGTAACCACACCAATAAAAAACGCGAAAGTCGGAATCATCGCGTCGCTCCGACCGCCTCGTTTTGACGGCGGCGACAATGGTTTAGTGTGACCCTGAAATATTTTGTATTAGAGATTATGTATGATGTTTTTGCAGATAGTTTTAGTAATTTTAGATACTTGTTAAATGATATTATTATATATGAACTTGAGTGAACCTTTAATTTCTCATTTGAGTCTCTAAATAATGATTTAGGATCATTATTTTGGAACTCAAATTGTCCCAATTTGGACAGTTTATAAAAAAAGTTTTCCTTGGCCAATAATTATCTAGGTAGTTGATTAAACTGTTATTTGTTATAGTTGGTGCATGGTTGAATGAGGTTAATTTTACCAAATTAAAGTTGTGGACTAAGAGAGTGATGCGAAATGTTACCGAAATTTTATTAAGTATACAGTGTAATGAACTCAGATGACTGTGGATATTACATAGCTTTGTTCATTGGAGAAGCACTACAGCATGAACAAACTACTATTCCAGTTAACGTAAGAACCATTTTTGCATTATGACTATATGTTATATGAAAGAATAATGTATTGTTATTATTTATCTAATTTGGAATTTAACTTTTGTGATTCTTTTCTATTTATGTTTGCAATATTTTCCAGAGTCTCGCTTTGCTATCTTTCTGGACCTTAGAATTGAGTAGCTACAAAAGGAATGGTGTGCATATTTTTATCATACATTTTTGAATGACATAATCAATACTATAGACTCTTAAGGATTTTTTTAATCATTTCAATAGTTTGATGTATATATTCCAATTTTGTTTCATGCAAATTTTAGTTTTAATTTGTCAAATTTTGAATTGTTTTTCTATGATTCTATGAATATATATTGTATGTTGGCTGGATTTTGTTGGATTAATTTGATATATACCCTGAAATTGTGGTCTATCAGGTACAAATTATTAGGAATAAATTTTGGATTTTAAAGTTTAAATATTTTTTTTTAATTGAGACTTTAGATAGCGGTTCCTAGAACCGCTATCTAAACATGCTAAAAGAGAGCGGTTCTAGAACTAACCGCTATTAAAAGTATATTTTAGATAGCGGTTGTCGTTTTAACCGCTATTATATGTGTATTTTTAAGAGCGGTTCATCATTCAAACCACTATTATAGATACAACTTTGCATAACGGTTCCACGCACTACAACAGAAAAGACATGTAATAGCGGTTTCGCATGCTTTATAATACCGGTTAAAAACGCTATTAAATGAGACGCTAATAAAAGAATGACGTTTAGATAACGGTTAACTAACTGCTATCATTAATAAGATATAATAGCGGTAAACGTGGAACCGCTATGTAAAGTTGTATCTATAATAGAGGTTGGAATGATGAACCGCTCTTAAAAATACACATATAATAGCGGTTAAAACGACAACCGCTATCTAAAATATACTTTTAATAGTAGTTAGTTCTAGAACCACTCTCTTTTAGTATGTTTAGATAGCGGTTCTAGGAACCGCTATCTAAAGTCCTAATTTAAAAAAAAATTATTTAAATTTTGAAATCCAAAATTTATTCCTAATAATTTGTACCTGATAGACCACAATTTTAGGGTATATATCAAATTAATCCAACAAAATCTAGCCAGTATACAATATATATTCATAGAATCATAGAAAAACAATTCAAAATTTGACAAATTAAAACTAAAATTTGCATGAAACAAAATTGGAATATACACATTAAATAATTGAAATGATTAAAAAAATCCTTAAGAGTCTATGATATTGATTCTATCATTCAAAAATGTATGATAGAAATATGCACACCATTCCTTTTGTAGCTACTCAATTCTAAGGTCCAGAAAGATAACAAAGCAAGACTCTGGAAAATACTGCAAACATAGATAGAAAAGAATCACAAAAGTTAAATTCCAAATTAGATAAATAATAACAATACATTATTCTTTCATATAACACATAGTCATAATGCAAAAATGGTTCTTACGTTAACTGGAATAGTAGTTTGTTCATGCTGCAGTGCTTCTCCGATGAACAAAGCTATGTAATATCCCCAATCATCTGAGTTCATTACATTGTATACTTAATAAAATTTTGGCAACATTTCGCATCAGTCTCTTAGTCCACAACTTAAATTTGGTAAAATTAACCTCATTCAACCATGCACCAACTATAACAAATAACAGCTTTAATCAACTACCTAGATAATTATTGGCCAAGGAAATTTTTTTTACAAACTCGTCCAAATTGGGACAATTTGAGTTTCAAAATAATGATCCTAAATCATTATTTAGAGATTCAAATGAGAAACTAAAGGTTCACTCAAGTTTATATATAATAATATCATTTAACAAGTATCTAAAATTACTAAAACTATCTGCAAAAACATCATACATAATCTCTAATACAAAATATTTCGAGGTCACACTAAACCATGTATATATCCTAACCAGCCTATATTCTATTTCAAAACACAATTTCAGGATCACAATGTGAGCAAAAATAAACAATTCAGACCAAACTAAGATATTAATCAATCCAAATACTAATTTTTAGTAACAAAAAAATTAAAAGGGGAGTTTTTCAAAATTAAAATATTAGATGAAACAGAACAAAAGCAGATTATAAAAATGTGGATTAAAAATAGATTAAAATGCAATTGATTTCCTGATTCTAATGCAGTGTCACTTATCCTAGATTACGAAATTAATTCGAAATTAACCAACTAAGCGAAGATAAATCCCAAATTATATTCTAATTCAAAATTAATCAATTAAGCGAAGATTAATCTCAAATTAGCTTTAACCCTTGTTCCAATATGAAATTAACCAACTAAGCGAAGATTAATCCCAAATTTTCCTGAACCCTTATTCCAACATGAAATTAACCAACTAAGCGAAGATTAACCCCAAATTATCCTTATACAATTAAGCATTGCATACATCACATAATCTCATCTCTAGCACAGAATTAAGCAAACTGTGATATTAGTTTCGGTTTATTAAGCATAAACAGATTATAATTCAACACTAAGATTAGAAGATGAAGAGTTAAGAGAACAAACAAAATGAAATTGAAGAACAAAACCTCAAAGATATACTTGCATTATTCTCAGAAAATCAATACAAAGATTTAGCTATCCATGGAAAGTTGAAAACGCAATAGAAGAAACATAATTAAAATCGAAACAAGAATTTAAAA